ATTCTCTTACATTGACATGCTAATCTTACATTGACACGCTGAATGTCTCTCTCACACAGTCACCGTAGCGGTGATTCTCTTACATTGACATGCTAATCTTACATTGACAGGCTGAATGTCTCTCTCTGTGTCTCTCTGTCTCTCTCTCTGTCTGTGTCTCTGTGTCTCTCTGTGTCTCTGTCTCTCTCTGTCTCTCTCTGTGTCTCTGTGTCTCTCTCTGTGTCTCTCTCTGTGGCTCTTTGTCTCTCTCTCTCTGTCTCTCTCTCTGTGTCTCTGTCTCTCTCTGTGTGTCTCTGTCTCTCTCTCTGTGTCTCTGTGTCTATCTCTCTGTCTCTGTCTCTCTCTGTGTGTCTCTCTCTGTCTGTGTCTCTCTCTCTGTCCGTGTCTCTCTCTCTGTCTTTCTTTCTCTCTGTGTCTCTCTGTGTATGTGTCTCTGTGTCTCTCTGTGTCTCTTTTTGTGTCTCTCTGTGTTTCTGTCTCTGTCTCTCTCTGTGTCTCTGTCTCTCTCTCTGTCTCTCTCTCTCTCTGTTTCTCTGTCTCTCTCTGTGTCTCTCTCTCTGTGTCTCTCTGTGGCTCTGTGTCTCTCTGTGTCTCTGTCTCTCTCTGTGTCTCTCTCTGTGTCTCTCTGTCTCTCTCTGCGTCTCTCTGTGTCTCTCTCTCTCTCTGTGTCTCTCTGTCTCTCTCTGTGTCTCTCTGTCTCTCTCTCTCTCTGCGTCTCTCTGTGTCTCTCTGTCTCTCTCTGTGTCTCTCTTTGCCTCTCTGTGTGTCTCTGTGTCTCTCTGTCTCTCTCTCTCTGTGTCTCTCTGTGTTTCTGTGTCTCTCTCTGTGTCTCTCTGTGTCTCTCTCTGTGTCTCTGTCTCTCTCTGTGTCTCTCTGTGTGTCTCTCTCTGTGTCTCTCTGTGTCTCTCTCTGCCTCTCTGTGTCTTTCTGTGTCTCTGTGTCTCTCTCTGTGTCTCTGTCTGTGTCTCTCTGTGTCTCTGTCTGTGTCTCTCCGTGTGTCTCTCTGTGTCCCTGTGTCTCTATCTCTGTGTGTCTCTCTCTGTCTCTCTTTGTGTCTGTCTCTGTGTCTCTCTCTCTCTCTGTCTCTCTGTGTCTCTCTCTCTGTGTCTCTATGTGTCTCTGTGTATCTGTGTCTCTCTGTCTCTCTCTGTCTCTGTGTCTCTATGTGTCTCTGTGTCTCTCTGTCTCTCGGTGTCTCTCTCTCAGTGTCTCTCTCTGTGTCTCTCTCTGTGTCTCTCTGTGTCTCTCTCTGTGTCTCTGTCTCTCTCTCTCTGTGTCTCTCTTTCTATGTCTCTCTGTGTCTCTCTCTCTCTCTGTGTCTCTCTCTCTGTGTCTCTGTCTCTCTCTGTCTCTCTGTCTCTCTCTGTGTCTCTGCGTCTCTCTCTGTGTCTCTGTGTCTCTCTGTGTCTCTCTCTCTGTGTCTCTGTCTCTCTCTGTCTCTCTGTGTGTCTCTCTCTGTGTCTCTGTGTCTCTCTGTGTCTCTCTGTGTCTCGCTCTGTGTCTCTCTCTGTGTCTCTCCCTGTGTCTCTCTGTGTCTCTCTGTGTCTCTCTCTCTGTGTCTCTCTCTGTGTCTCTCTCTCTGTGTCTCTGTGTCTCTCTCTGTCTCTGTGTCTCTCTGTCTCTCTCTGTCTCTGTGTCTCTATGTGTCTCTGTATCTCTCTGTGTCTCTCTGTCTCTCGGTGTCTCTCTCTCTGTGTCTCTCTCTGTGTCTCCCTGTGTCTCTCTCTGTGTCTCTGTCTCTCTCTGTGTCTCTCTGTGTCTCTTTCTCTCTGTGTCTCTCTCTCTGTGTCTCTGTCTCTCTCTGTCTCTCTCTGTGTCTCTGTGTCTCTCTGTGTCTCTCTCTGTGTCTCTCCCTGTGTCTCTCTGTGTCTCTCTGTGTCTCTCTCTCTGTGTCTCTCTCTGTGTCTCTCTCTCTCTGTGTCTCGCTCAGAGGGGCCCGATCTGGAGGAGTTTTTCTGACATCACATCTCGCCGGCAGAGGTTTTTACCCCCTCGCACCTGGCAAGTCCCCTCCTTGGTCTCGCGCTCACTTCGGCAGTGTAGGTCACGGCGTGGCCCAGATTCTACACTGACACACACACAGACACACACACAGACACACACACGTTGTGTGTGTGTCTGTGTGTCAGTGTGTGTCTCTGTGTGTGTGTCTACCGGCCTGTCTCCACGCGTGTCTTCAAGGTAACGCAGTGTCTGTGTCTCTGTGTGTGTGTGTCTGTGTGTCAGTGTGTGTCTCTGTGTGTGTGTCTACCGGCCTGTCTCCACGCGTGTCTTCAAGAAGGTAACGCAGTGTCTGTGTCTCTGTGTGTGTCTCTGTGTCTGTGTCTCTGTGTGTGTCTCTGTGTGTGTGTGTCTGTGTGTCAGTGTGTGTCTCTGTGTGTGTGTCTACCGGCCTGTCTCCACGCGTGTCTTCAAGGTAACGCAGTGTCTGTGTCTCTGTGTCTCTGTGTCTGTGTGTGTGTCTGTGTCTCTCTCTGTGTGTCTCTGTGTGTGTCTCTGTGTCTGTGTGTCTCTGTGTGTGTCTCTGTGTGTGTGTGTGTCTGTGTGTCAGTGTGTGTCTCTGTGTGTGTCTACTGGCCTGTCTCCACGCGTGTCTTCAAGAAGGTAACGCAGTGTCTGTGTCTCTGTGTGTGTCTCTGTGTGTGTCTCTGTGTCTGTGTGTCTGTGTGTGTGTGTCTGTGTGTGTCTGTGTGTGTGTCTCTGTGTGTGTCTCTGTGTGTGTGTGTGTGTCTGTGTGTCATTGTGTGTCTCTGTGTGTGTCTGTGTCTCTGTGTGTGTGTGTGTGTCTGTTTGTCAGTGTGTGTCTCTGTGTGTGTGTCTACCGGCCTGTCTCCACGCGTGTCTTCAAGAAGGTAACGCAGTGTCTGTGTCTCTGTGTGTACGTCTCTCTGTGTCTCTGTGTCTGTGTGTGTGTCTGTGTGTCTGTGTCTCTCTCTGTGTGTGTGTCTGTGTCTCTCTGTGTGTGTGTGTCTGTGTCTGTGTGTCTCTGTGTGTGTGTCTGTGTGTGTCTACCGGCCTGTCTCCACGCGTGTCTTCAAGAAGGTAACGCAGTGTCTGTGTCTCTGTGTCTGTGTGTGTGTCTGTGTGTCTGTGTCTCTCTCTGTGTGTGTGTGTCTGTGTGTGTGTGTCTCTGTGTGTGCGTCTCTCTGTGTCTCTGTGTGTGTCTGTGTGTCTGTGTGTGTGTGTCTGTGTGTGTCTCTGTGTGTGTGTGTGTCTGTGTCTCTCTGTGTGTCTCTGTGTGTGTGTCTGTGTGTCTCTGTGTGTGTGTCTACCGGCCTGTCTCCACGCGTGTCTTCAAGAAGGTAACGCAGTGTCTGTGTCTCTGTGTCTGTGTGTGTGTCTGTGTGTGTGTGTCTGTGTCTCTCTCTCCCTGTGTGTGTGTCTCTCTCTGTGTGTGTCTGTGTGTGTTTCTGTGTGTCTGTGTGTGTGTGTCTGTGTGTGTGTCTGTGTCTCTCTCTGTGTGTCTGTGTCTCTCTCTCTCTGTGTGTCTCTGTGTGTGTGTCTCTGTGTCTCTCTGCGTGTGTCTCTGTGTGTGTGTCTGTGTGTGTCTCTCTCTCTCTGTGTCTCTCTCTCTCTGTGTGTCTCTGTCTTTCTGTGTATCTCTGTGTATGTCTCTCTCTGTCTTTCTCTCTGTGTATCTCTGTGTGTCTGTCTCTGTGTGTCTCTGTGTGTCTCTCTGTGTGTCTCTATGTGTGTGTCTTTCTGTGTCTCACTGTGTCTGTGTGTCTCTCTGTGTCTGTGTGTCTCACTCTGTGTCTGTGTGTGTGTCTCTCTGTGTGTCTCTGTGTGTGTGTCTCACTGTGTCTCACTCTGTGTCTCTGTGTGTCTCTCTGTGTGTCTCTATGTGTGTCTCTCTGTGTGTCTCTCTGTGTCTCACTCTGCGTCTGTGTGTTTCTCTGTGTGTCTCTATGTGTGGCTTACTGTGTCTGTGTGTCTCACTCTGAGTCTGTGTGTGTGTCTCTCTGTGTGTCTCTATGTGTGTCTCTCTGTGTGTCTCACTGTGTCTCACTCTGTGTCTGTGTGTGTGTCTCTCTGTTTGTCTCTATGTGTGTGTCTCTCTGTGTGTCTCTCTGTGTGTCTCTGTGTGTGTCTCACTGTATCTCACTCTATATCTCTCTGTGTGTATCACTCTGTGTCTCTCTGTGTGTCTCTGTGTGTGTGTCTCTCTGTGTGTTTCACTATGTCTCACTCTGTGTCTGTGTGTGTCTCTCTGTGTCTCTATGTGTGTCTCTCTGTATGTCTCGCTGTGTCTCACTCTGTGTCTGTGTGTGTGTCTATCTGTGTGTCTCTATGTGTGTGTCTCTATGTGTGTGTCCCTCTGTGTGTCTCACTGTGTCTCACTCTGTGTCTGTGCGTGTGTCTCTCTGTGTGTCTCTATGTGTGTCTCTATGTGTGTGTCTCTCTGTGTGTCTCACTGTGTGTCTGTGTGTGTGTGTCTCTCTGTGTGTCTCACTGTGTGTCTCACTGTGTCTCACTGTTGTGTCTGTGCGTGTGTCTCTCTGTGTGTCTCTATGTGTGTCTCACTGTGTCTCACTCTGTGTCTGTGTGTGTGTCTCTCTGTGTGTCTCATTGTCTGTGTGTCTCTCTGTGTGTCTCGCTGTGTCTCACTCTGTGTCTGTGTGTGTCTCTCTGTGTGTCTCTGTGTGTGTCTCTCTGTATGTCTCTCTGTGTGTCTCTGTGTGTGTGTCTCTGTGTGTCTCTGTGTGTGTCTCTCTGTGTGTGTCTCACTGTGTCTCACTGTGTCTGTGTGTGTGTCTCTTTGTGTGTCTCTATGTGTGTGTCTCTATGTGTGTCTCTCTGTGTGTCTCACTGTGTCTCACTCTGTGTCTGTGTGTGTGTCTCTGTGCATCTCTGTGTGTGTCTCTCTGTGTGTCTCACTGTGTCTCACTCTGTGTCTGTGTGAGTGTCTCTCTGTGTGTCTCTATGTGTGTCTCACTGTGTCTGTGTGTGTGTCTCTCTGTGTGTCTCTCTGTGTGTCTCTATGTGTGTCTCTCTGTGTGTCTCACTGTGTCTCACTCTGTGTCTGTCTGAGTGTCTCTCTGTGTGTCTCACTGTGTCTCACTCTGTGTCTGTGTCTCTATGTGTGTGTGTGTCTCTCTGTCTCACTGTGTGTCTCTATGTGTGTGTCTCTCTGTCTCACTGTGTCTCACTCTGTGTCTGTGTGTGTGTCTCTGTGTGTGTCTCTCTGTGTGTCTCGATGTCTCTCTGTGTGTCTGTGTGTGTGTCTCTCTGTGTGTCTCTATGTGTGTGTCTCTCTGTGTGTCCCACTGTGTCTCACTCTGTGTCTGTGTGTGTGTCTCTCTGTGTGTCTCTATGTGTGTGTCTCTCTGTGTGTCTCACTGTGTGTCTCTATGTGTGTTTCTCTGTGTGTCTCACTGTGTCTCACTCTGTGTCTGTGTGTGTGTGTCTCTCTGTGTGTCTCTATGTGTGTGTCTCTCTGTGTGTGTCTCACTGTGTCTCACTCTGTGTCTGTGTGTGTGTCTCTTTGTGTGTCTCTATGTGTGTGTCTCTATGTGTGTCTCTCTGTGTGTCTCACTGTGTCTCACTCTGTGTCTGTGTGTGTGTCTCTGTGCATCTCTGTGTGTGTCTCTCTGTGTGTCTCACTGTGTCTCACTCTGTGTCTGTGTGAGTGTCTCTCTGTGTGTCTCTATGTGTGTCTCACTGTGTCTGTGTGTGTGTCTCTCTGTGTGTCTCTCTGTGTGTCTCTATGTGTGTCTCTCTGTGTGTCTCACTGTGTCTCACTCTGTGTCTGTCTGAGTGTCTCTCTGTGTGTCTCACTGTGTCTCACTCTGTGTCTGTGTCTCTATGTGTGTGTGTGTCTCTCTGTCTCACTGTGTGTCTCTATGTGTGTGTCTCTCTGTCTCACTGTGTCTCACTCTGTGTCTGTGTGTGTGTCTCTGTGTGTGTCTCTCTGTGTGTCTCGATGTCTCTCTGTGTGTCTGTGTGTGTGTCTCTCTGTGTGTCTCTATGTGTGTGTCTCTCTGTGTGTCCCACTGTGTCTCACTCTGTGTCTGTGTGTGTGTCTCTCTGTGTGTCTCTATGTGTGTGTCTCTCTGTGTGTCTCACTGTGTGTCTCTATGTGTGTTTCTCTGTGTGTCTCACTGTGTCTCACTCTGTGTCTGTGTGTGTGTGTCTCTCTGTGTGTCTCTATGTGTGTGTCTCTCTCTGTGTGTCTCACTGTGTCTCACTCTGTGTCTGTGTGTGTGTCTCTCTGTGTGTCTCTATGTGTGTGTCTCTCTCTATGTGTGTGTCTCACTCTGTGTCTGTGTGTGTCTCTCTGTGTGTCTCACTGTGTCTCACTCTGTGTCTGTGTCTCTCTGTGTGTCTCTATGTGTGTGTCTCTCTGTGTGTCTCACTGTGTCTCACTCTGTGTCTGTGTGTGTGTGTCTCTGTCTCACTGTGTCTCACTCTGTGTCTGTGTGTGTCTCTCTGTGTGTCTCACTGTGTCTCACTCTGTCTCCCAGTGTCTCATCATTTCGGGGAGGAGAGAAGAGGACGAGAGAAGAGGTGAGAGGAAGAGTGAATGGAGTTTACCTGTGTGTGTGTGTACCTGTGTGTGTGTGTACCTGTGTGTGTGTGTGTACCTGTGTGTGTGTGTACCTGTGTGTGTGTGTACCTGTGTGTGTGTGTACCTGTGTGTGTGTGTGTACCTGTGTGTGTGTGTACCTGTGTGTGTGTACCTGTGTGTGTGTGTGTAACTGTGTGTGTGTGTACCCGTGTGTGTACCTGTGTGTGTGTGTACCTGTGTGTGTGTACCTGTGTGTGTGTGTACCTGTGTGTGTGTACCTGTGTGTACCTGTGTGTGTGTACCTGTGTGTGTGTACCTGTGTGTGTGTACCTGTGTGTGTGTGTACCTGTGTGTGTGTGTACCTGTGTGTGTGTGTGTACCTGTGTGTGTGTGTGTACCTGTGTGTGTGTGTACCTGTGTGTGTGTACCTGTGTGTGTGTGTACCTGTGTGTGTGTGTGTACCTGTGTGTGTGTACCTGTGTGTGTGTGTACCTGTGTGTGTGTACCTGTGTGTGTGTGTGTGTACCTGTGTGTGTGTACCTGTGTGTGTGTGTACCTGTGTGTGTGTGTACCTGTGTGTGTGTGTGTACCTGTGTGTGTGTGTACCTGTGTGTGTACCTTTGTGTGTGTGTGTGTACCTGTGTGTGCGTGTGTGTACCTGTGTGTGTGTGTACCTGTGTGTGTGTGTGTGTGTACCTGTGTGTGTACCTGTGTGTGTGTGTGTACCTGTGTGTGTGTGTGTACCTGTGTGTGTACCTGTGTGTGTACCTGTGTGTGTGTACCTGTGTTTGTGTACCTGTGTGTGTACCTGAGTGTGTGTACCTGTGTGTGTGTAGCTGTGTGTGTGTGTACCTGTGTGTGTGTGTGTACCTGCGTGTGAGTGTACCTGTGTGTGTGTGTGTACCTGTGTGTGTACCTGTGTGTGTGTGTACCTGTGTGTGTGTGTACCTGTGTGTGTGTGTACCTGTGTGTGTGTGTGTGTACCTGTGTGTGTGTGTGTGTACCTGTGTGTGTGTGTACCTGTGTGTGTGTACCTGTGTGTGTGTGTGTAACTGTGTGTGTGTGTACCCGTGTGTGTACCTGTGTGTGTGTGTACCTGTGTGTGTGTACCTGTGTGTGTGTACCTGTGTGTGTGTACCTGTGTGTACCTGTGTGTGTGTACCTGTGTGTGTGTACCTGTGTGTGTGTGTACCTGTGTGTGTGTGTACCTGTGTGTGTGTGTACCTGTGTGTGTGTGTGTACCTGTGTGTGTGTGTACCTGTGTGTGTGTACCTGTGTGTGTGTGTACCTGTGTGTGTGTGTGTACCTGTGTGTGTGTGTACCTGTGTGTGTACCTGTGTGTGTGTGTGTGTATACCTGTGTGTGTGTGTACCTGTGTGTGTGTACCTGTGTGTACCTGTGTGTGTGTGTACCTGTGTGTGTACCTGTGTGTGTACCTGTGTGTGTGTGTGTACCTGTGTGTGTACCTGTGTGTACCTGTGTGTGTGTGTACCTGTGTGTGTGTGTGTACCTGTGTGTGTGTTTACCTGTGTGTGTGTACCTGTGTGTGTGTGTGTGTACCTGTGTGTGTGTACCTGTGTGTGTGTGTACCTGTGTGTGTGTGTACCTGTGTGTGTGTGTGTACCTGTGTGTGTGTGTACCTGTGTGTGTACCTTTGTGTGTGTGTGTGTACCTGTGTGTGCGTGTGTGTACCTGTGTGTGTGTGTACCTGTGTGTGTGTGTGTGTGTACCTGTGTGTGTACCTGTGTGTGTGTGTACCTGTGTGTGTGTGTGTGTACCTGTGTGTGTACCTGTGTGTGTGTGTACCTGTGTGTGTACCTGTGTGTGTGTACCTGTGTGTGTGTACCTGTGTGTGTACCTGAGTGTGTGTACCTGTGTGTGTGTAGCTGTGTGTGTGTGTACCTGTGTGTGTGTGTGTGTGTGTACCTGCGTGTGAGTGTACCTGTGTGTGTGTGTGTACCTGTGTGTGTACCTGTGTGTGTGTACCTGTGCGTGTGTGTACCTGTGTGTGTACCTGTGTGTGTGTACCTGTGCGTGTGTGTGTACCTGTGTGTGTGTGTACCTGTGTGTGTACCTGTGTGTGGTTACCTGTGTGTGTGTGTACCTGTGTGTGTGTGTATACCTGTGTGTGTGTGTACCTGTGTGTACCTGTGTGTGTGTGTACCTGTGTGTGTGTGTGTACCTGTGTGTGTGTGTACCTGTGTGTGTGTACCTGTGTGTGTGTACCTGTGTGTGTGTGTACCTGTGTGTGTGTGTGTGTGTACCTGTGTGTGTACCTGTGTGTGTGTACCTGTGTGTGTGTACCTGTGTGTGTACCTGAGTGTGTGTACCTGTGTGTGTGTAGCTGTGTGTGTGTGTACCTGTGTGTGTGTGTGTGTACCTGCGTGTGAGTGTACCTGTGTGTGTGTGTGTACCTGTGTGTGTACCTGTGTGTGTGTGTACCTGTGTGTGTGTGTACCTGTGTGTGTGTGTACCTGTGTGTGTGTGTGTGTACCTGTGTGTGTGTGTGTACCTGTGTGTGTGTGTACCTGTGTGTGTGTACCTGTGTGTGTGTGTAACTGTGTGTGTGTGTACCCGTGTGTGTACCTGTGTGTGTGTGTACCTGTGTGTGTGTACCTGTGTGTGTGTACCTGTGTGTGTGTACCTGTGTGTACCTGTGTGTGTGTACCTGTGTGTGTGTACCTGTGTGTGTGTGTACCTGTGTGTGTGTGTACCTGTGTGTGTGTGTACCTGTGTGTGTGTGTACCTGTGTGTGTGTACCTGTGTGTGTGTGTACCTGTGTGTGTGTGTGTACCTGTGTGTGTGTGTACCTGTGTGTGTACCTGTGTGTGTGTGTGTGTGTATACCTGTGTGTGTGTGTACCTGTGTGTGTGTACCTGTGTGTACCTGTGTGTGTGTGTGTACCTGTGTGTGTACCTGTGTGTGTACCTGTGTGTGTGTGTGTACCTGTGTGTGTACCTGTGTGTACCTGTGTGTGTGTGTACCTGTGTGTGTGTGTACCTGTGTGTGTGTTTACCTGTGTGTGTGTACCTGTGTGTGTGTGTGTGTACCTGTGTGTGTGTACCTGTGTGTGTGTGTACCTGTGTGTGTGTGTACCTGTGTGTGTGTGTGTACCTGTGTGTGTGTGTACCTGTGTGTGTACCTTTGTGTGTGTGTGTGTACCTGTGTGTGCGTGTGTGTACCTGTGTGTGTGTGTACCTGTGTGTGTGTGTGTGTGTACCTGTGTGTGTACCTGTGTGTGTGTGTGTACCTGTGTGTGTGTGTGTGTACCTGTGTGTGTACCTGTGTGTGTGTACCTGTGTGTGTACCTGTGTGTGTGTACCTGTGTGTGTGTACCTGTGTGTGTACCTGAGTGTGTGTACCTGTGTGTGTGTAGCTGTGTGTGTGTGTACCTGTGTGTGTGTGTGTGTGTACCTGCGTGTGAGTGTACCTGTGTGTGTGTGTGTACCTGTGTGTGTACCTGTGTGTGTGTACCTGTGCGTGTGTGTACCTGTGTGTGTACCTGTGTGTGTGTACCTGTGCGTGTGTGTGTACCTGTGTGTGTGTGTACCTGTGTGTGTACCTGTGTGTGTTTACCTGTGTGTGTGTGTGTACCTGTGTGTGTGTGTGTATACCTGTGTGTGTGTGTACCTGTGTGTACCTGTGTGTGTGTGTACCTGTGTGTGTGTGTGTACCTGTGTGTGTGTGTACCTGTGTGTGTGTACCTGTGTGTGTGTACCTGTGTGTGTGTGTACCTGTGTGTGTGTGTACCTGTGTGTGTGTGTACCTGTGTGTGTGTACCTGTGTGTGTACCTGTGTGTGTGTACCTGTGTGTGTGTGTGTACCTGTGTGTGTGTACCTGTGTGTGTGTGTACCTGTGTGTGTGTGTACCTGTGTGTGTGTGTGCACCTGTGTGTACCTGCGTGTGTGTACCTGTGTGTGTGTACCTGTGTGTGTGTGTACCTGTGTGTGTACCTGTGTGTGTGTGTACCTGTGTGTGTGTGTGCCTGTGTGTGTGTGTGTGTACCTGTGTGTGTACCTGTGTGTGTGTGTGTACCTGTGTGTGTGTGTACCTGTGTGTGTACCTGTGTGTGTGTACCTGTGTGTGTACCTGTGTGTGTGTACCTGTGTGTTTGTACCTGTGTGTGTACCTGAGTGTGTGTACCTGTGTGTGTGTAGCTGTGTGTGTGTGTACCTGTGTGTGTGTGTGTACCTGCGTGTGAGTGTACCTGTGTGTGTGTGTGTACCTGTGTGTGTACCTGTGTGTGTGTACCTGTGGGTGTGTGTACCTGTGTGTGTACCTGTGTGTGTGTACCTGTGCGTGTGTGTACCTGTGTGTGTGTGTACCTGTGTGTGTACCTGTGTGTGTGTACCTGTGTGTGTGTGTACCTGTGTGTGTGTGTGTGTATACCTGTGTGTGTGTGTACCTGTGTGTACCTGTGTGTGTGTGTACCTGTGTGTGTGTGTGTGTACCTGTGTGTGTGTACCTGTGTGTGTACCTGTGTGTGTGTACCTGTGTGTGTGTACCTGTGTGTGTGTGTACCTGTGTGTGTGTGTACCTGTGTGTGTATAGCTGTGTGTGTGTGTGTACCTGTGTGTGTACCTGTGTGTGTGTACCTGTGTGTGTGTGTACCTGTGTGTGTATGTACCTGTGTGTGTGTGTGTGTACCTGTGTGTGTGTGTACCTGTCTGTGTACCTGTGTGTGTGTGTACCTGTGTCTGTTTGTGTACCTGTGTGTGTACCTATGTGTGTGTACCTGTGTGTGTACCTGTGTGTGTGTGTACCTGTGTGTGTGTGTACCTGTGTGTGTACCTGTGTGTGTGTGTACCTGTGTGTGTACCTGTGTGTGTGTACCTGTGTGTGTGTGTACCTGTGTGTGTACCTGTGTGTTTGTGTACCTGTGTGTGTACCTGTGTGTGTACCTGTGTGTGTGTACCTGTGTGTGTATATACCTGTGTGTGTGTGTACCTGTGTGTGTGTACCTGTGTGTGTGTACCTGTGTGTGTACCTGTGTGTGTG